TATTATTATTATTATTATTATTATTATTATTATTATTACTATTATTATTATTATTATTATTATCATCATCATCATTATTATTATTTTTACCATTATTAAATTATTTGTTGCATTAAATACACATTACAAGTGTTTTTCGTATCGTCAACATTTTTATTTTTAACTAATTAATTTTTATTTTTAACTAATTAATTTTTATTTTTAACTAATTAATCCATTATTATTAGTATCTTTCTATGGCTTTTCCCGTTTTATTTTAATGTGTCCAAAATTTGTTTTCAAACATTCAAAGATCTAATTGACATTATGCTGTTGTTTTAAAATTACAGTAGCATCAATTGCATCTGAAAGCAGTCTGCCAAGCACCGATCCATCATTGATGGATTCGGTATTTCTGAGTGGTGAAACACAACAACAAATTTTAAAGTTTAAACGACATATAACAGAAATACAAAGTCAATTAAAACAAATTCGACGTACAGTGCAGGTATTTCATTTATTATTGGAATTATAAACAAATAGAAAACAAAAACCAATCAATAATTTCGTTTCTTCCTATCGTTGAACTATATTACAGATGAATACGCAAGCATCACGTGATATTTTACGTGAAGCATTCGATCGAGTTCATCAATACGTTGCAGATCACCTGGGTGCAACGCCGCATCATACATTAGCTCACGCTAACGACACGCTTAAATCGGAACACATTGCTGAAATTGCTAATCTTCAGAAATCATTGCAGTAAATTTATTATTATTTTTAGTTTAACTATTTGTTTAAAAAACGAAACATGCAAATTTATTGAGTGAATTTGAACTTATCAAGAAGGACAACATAGTGGAATTCTCGAGAAACAGGAGTATTTGATGAGATATACTCTTAAAAAAACTTCACTGTTGATTAGCGATGGAAGTGTTCGTGAAATATTCCACGATAATTACTCGGTTTATTAATGAAACAATAATAACAATAATTTTTATGGACATGATTTTTAATTAATTAGTAGTATTAATAATAAAAATAGTGAAAATAATTGCAATAGTACTGATAATAGCTGTAATAGTAATAGCAGTAGTTAATAATGCTTAAGGACGGGCAATAAGCTATATAATTACTGTTGAGAATACAGTGCTACTGATGGGATGAAAATGTTGAAACCATTAGTGATGATAATTAATTATTGATCTTAATTACCGCCAACAATAATGCAATAAATAGCAATTTTAATATACTAAATATTGTCAAAATTACAGAACATTTGAAGAAAATGTTGAAGAAGTGAGACATTTGGTATTAAACACAAATCGGAAATTACGTATGAGTGAAGTGGAAACGTTTACTGAAACACTTACCAAACTTGGTCGTAATGCAGCAAAACTAAAAAGTTTACTTATTAATTTCATTTGTTTATATATTTATTGCAAAAATTGATCGATTTATTTTTGTGAAGAAAATTTTCAAAAATTGTAAAAAAAATATTTGTAATTTTTAGCACAATTTCCAACAATACAATATGAATTACAAAAGGAAATTAAAACAAATATGGAACGAATCGTTTGTGAGGAAAAATTCATTAAAGAAGAAACAACGCAAATTGACCAATGCTTACGACGCTGCAAAACGTTGGCCAATATGATGGTGACAATGAAAAAATTAGCAATGGTTCAGGATCCAAGTTTGAATGCATCGAAAGTTGAAAAGGACAACAATCGAACATTGTTTACACTTAAAGAGAATGATTTTACAACTAGTTCCACTAAATTTATACAAAATGATCAAATGAATGGTGGTCGAATGAATGCAAAACAACAAATAATCGATGAAAAAACAAATAAACAAATATCACCACCATTAATACCACCTCCACCAATTTATTATGAAGGTGTTTACCGTCTTTTCTTTTTT